TTAGTGGGAACATCGAACATTGGATTAAATTAAAATTTTAATGTATTTAAATTTAAGAATATCCAAGTACTTTGACTATTTCTCCAACAGTGAAATGCTTTTCTACTTTCGTAGGCCAATATCAAAGCTTCCAGTTGAGCTCAAGTTCCCGGACATTTTACAATGATTTTGTTATTTAAACATTGCAGGTCGGAATTTTAAGGTCGATATTGAACCGTTGGAAAACATTTTTTACGTCTGGAAAAAAATTAGAAAGTTTATTTCTGGAGGAAGATTGATGAAACAAATTAAAAACTGTAATTTGGTGTTTGTTTGATATTTGTTGTTTTTGCTGTATTTTTTTTTAATGTTGTGAATATGTATTTTTGAATTTAGTAGGAGCATCGAACATTGAATTAAATTAAAATTTTAATATATTTAAATTTAAGAATATCCAAGTACTTTGGCTATTTCTTCAACAGTGAAATGCTTTTCTACTTTCGTAGGCCAATATCAAAGCTTCCAGTTGAGCTCAAGTTCCCGGACATTTTACAATGATTTTGTTATTTAAACATTGCAGGTCGGAATTTTAAGGTCGATATTGAACCGTTGGAAAACATTTTTTACGTCTGGAAAAAAATTAGAAAGTTTATTTCTGGAGGAAGATTGATGAAACAAATTAAAAACTGTAATTTGGTGTTTGTTTGATATTTGTTGTTTTTGCTGTATTTTTTTTTAATGTTGTGAATATGTATTTTTGAATTTAGTAGGAGCATCGAACATTGAATTAAATTAAAATTTTAATATATTTAAATTTAAGAATATCCAAGTACGTTGGCTATTTTTTCTCCAGTGAAATGCTTTTCTACTTTCGTAGGCCAATATCAAAGCTTCCAGTTGAGTTCAAGTTCCCGGACATTTTACAATGATTTTGTTATTTAAACATTGCAGGTCGGAATTTTAAGGTCGATATTGAACCGTTGGAAAACATTTTTTACGTCTGAAAAAAAATTAGAAAGTTTATTTCTGGAGGAAGATTGATGAAACAAATTAACAACTGTAATTTGTGGAAATTACGAGCATTTTTTGTAAATAATTTATAAACAATATGCAAAAATAATCGAGGGATGGAGGAACTGAAAACAAGATTTATCTAATTGTCATTTTGCGACGTTTCGTTAATTATTTTAGCTTCCTCAGGCTTAATTGATTTATAATTGGTTTATAAACAATCAATATTCCATCATATAAATTATTTGTTCGGAATCCTAGCAAAATTTCTTCATATTCAGAATTTTACCAAAAATCAATTTCATGCCTAAAAAAATTAGGTTTCCGAGAGTTTAAACAATTTTAATTATTTATTTATAAACAACAAATGTCGAAAAAAAATGATAAATGATCACGCAATTCAATTTCCAAATTTGATGATTAAAAAGATACTAAAAGATACTTGGAAAAGATACTTGGATATTCTCAAGGCAATAGTTGAGTGATTTTTCGATTTTCCATCAATCATTGTTATTAGGGCCAGATAATCCCATTATGTATTCTGTAAATTTGATTTGAATTACTGATCGTTAATGATTTTCAAGAAGAATTGACTATTGGCCAGTTTTTGACGAATATCTCGGAATCCAAAAGAGATACCAAAATTTTTATCATGACCTTTTTTATAACCCTCAACTGACCCGACAAAAAAGGTTATGCGAAAAATTTTGCTATCTCTTTTAGATTCCGAGATATTCATCAAAAATTGACCAAAAGTCAAAAGCGACTTGACCCGGTTTACCCGATCGCTAGTGAATTCTCCTTTGAAATTTCAAAGGTCATTAAATAAAGAGATTAATAAAACTCGAACTAATCGATGATTTAATGGGAAATCTAATCGAAGCCTAAAATTCCCTGTTAGAAATTGCTCGAAATTTGAGCAACGCAAATTCCTCATTCTTAAAAATTCTTAAGAGTCCTTTCTTGAAACCTAAATAATTCTCCTGTGGTTAATAAAATTGAAATTCCACAAAATATTCCATAAATTAACTGATCTGTCAGTTCCCACACGCTCGAAAATTCCCCATAAATTACTTGTCCAAAATTTAAAGAATTCCACATAAAAATTCAAGACTAATTACTCCACCAAAGCAACAGTGCAAAAATGAATCCGAGGTGGCACGAAAAAAACAGTGAGAAAACGTCGAACAATAATCATCGTTACGGAAAAGCTATTAACGTCTGTATCGGGAATTTAATCGTAGCCCCTATCCACCCAAGCGTTATCAATCTGCAATAATTGTTGGCCATTAAACGCTCCTCTAATTACCAACTTCATACCACCTCACCAATAGACAAACATTGAAAACTGGTCGATGCCTCGAAGCCCCCATTCCCCCAGAATTATCTGATTTACACAAAGTCGAATGCTCAATATTAATTCCAATCGTGATGTTTAAGAATGCGACGATAATCACCGTAAAATCACTTCAGCAGTTGCTCAACAGATAGCAAAATTCCCAGTACGCTTTAATGTCAGTGAATTAATTTTCTTGAGCCTTCGGTAATTAATTTACAGAAGTGAAACGCCGCTTTTTCCACGTCTCGTGCTCAATTTTTTTTTCTTCTCTAAAAGCATGATAATTGAAAAAGGACTTCAACGCTCACTGCATCAGACACAAGCGCTTCTGAATCTGCGGATAAAGTGGGTCGTGGTAAGCGCGTTAACGTTTTCAGAAAGTGCTTTTAATAAACGGACGTCGAATTCGCTTCATCCCTCTCCCATGTATTTCTCTTTCGTTCCAACCACCCCCTCCCCCCGTCGTTCCCTCATTTGCTTTGTAACCAGGCGCTTTTTGGGGTTGGTTTTTTTAACACGCCACGGCCATTCATTCGTCGCTTTGCTTTCATCCGACCTCCGGGGGCGCTTTAACTCCATCTACGTACAGTGTGCAGTATAGCCACTGAAAATAGCGGTACGGTATAATACAACTTGTGTTACCCTCATGTGATGTCTAATTCCTTTCACAGAGTTATTTTCTCTCATTTTCTTGTTTTCGAGGAAAAAAATATTTAGGTTGGACTTTTATAATTCTACGGAGAGAATATAGTTGGGGATTTTTATATAATGTTGTCAATTTTGCAGATAAAGCGCTAGAAAAAGTGGAGGTTTGTGTACGAATGAAGCATTTCTTCGTATTTTTAGATAAATTGAAATTTCATGAATATGTGGTCAGTGGTTTCAAGGGGACTTCGACCTCCGGGTATGGCGGAACGGGAACTTCAACTCCATGTATAATTTCAAATGAAAAGGCTGGAAATTTTTAACAACGACAAAGTTACATGAAATTTCTGGATTTATTTTCATTGAGAAATCAGTTAATTTATGGAATATTCAAGTAAATCTTGATTTCCAGGCCCATTCGACACTGGAAAACCTTGGAAATTTTGCAAATTCAGGCAACAAATTTTCTGAATTCTCAATCTACTGAAAATTGAATTGTAAAATCAATGATTGTTTAACATGAAAAATCAAATTTTCTTGAATTTTCAAGATGAATGAGAAATTTAGTGAGCGCTTTCATTTGAAATTGAATTCAATTTCAAGGGATTTCTAACAATATATGTCCACTGGAAATAGCGGTAGTTTTGTTACCCTCATGTGATGTTTAATTTTTTTTGCAGAGTTATTTTTTCCCGTTTTCTTGTTTTCGAGAGAAAAAAATTTAAATTAGACTTTTATAATTGTACGGAGAGAAAAGTAGAGTTTTTTTTTATATAAGGTTGTCCATTTCTCAAATAAAGCGCAAGAAAAATGGGAGGTTTGTTCACATGTTGCAAACAAATGACGCATTTCTTCATATTTTTAGAAAAATTGGAATTTCATAAATATTTGACCAGTGGTTTTAAGGAGACTTCAATCTCCGGGGAATGGGGGGGGACTTTAACTCCATATACGCACATCGTGCATGCATGCCCACTGAAAATAGCGGTACGGTATAATTGTGTTGTCCCCACGTGATGTCTAATTCCTTTCGCAGATTTATTTTCTCTCATTTTCTTGTTTTCGAGAAAGAAAAAAATAAAGATTGAACTTTTATAGCTGTACAGAGAGACGACTCTTAAAAATTCCGTAATAAATTCGTCAATCTTTCAAATAAAGCCAAAGTAGAACTCTGCAAATTCTAATTTGTACAAATTTTAGAAACAAATAAAAATAAATGAAACATTCTTAACGTCTTTGCAAGAATTACAATTCCATAGATGTGTAAAAAAGTGTGAAACAAAATTGTGAAATGGACGCAGTAAAAAGGCACACAAAAATGATACGAATGCTTTAATTTAATAATCCCAGTTCACAATACATTGTTAAAAGTTTCCGAGCCAAAATTATCACACATGTGTACGAAGTCATTTACATAATACTGTATTATAAATTTATCATACGTCTGTCTCACACTGTCTGAGAAAATTCATGCACCAGTATGAGAATTTTTATGTACACGTCCGAACAAATTATATCTGATTATCCTATGCCTGTGCGATACCATTGAATAAGATGACATCCTATAATTACTCAGTGAAACCTATTAGATTACCGCAATTGATGTCAAACAGAATAAAATCAATAATTTCTCCCCAAAAATTCCCGGACTTTTCTCCCATGTACTCTTGAATGAACCTGTATTGCAAAAAGACTTGAATAATACCAGTGAAATGTCGAGACTAATCAGTTTCAGAAATGAATGGGGAAGGGGCTTAAGTTGGAATTAGGGGTTCGATATCGCAGCGAAATTGAAGCTCGTAGGATAATGATGTCGGCTTAATTGCGAGTCTGCTGAAGCCCCCACCACTCCCCTGCGTTCCACAGGGTAACCCATCTACCTCATACCTCCCACTATTCGTTATTAGTGATTAACCTTGCCAAGTTGACTATTCAGAAGTGATTGGATTCGATTTGATGTACTTGATGAATATTTCGTTTATGGTACACTCATCATGGATTTTGAATAGCGAGATGATGTACTTACATGCCTCTCCTCGGCGGAATTTAATCCTGTAAACAGAAGGGAAACGGTTGATTATAGATAAAAAAAAATACTGGTTTTATGAGGGAAAATCGAGGGGGTAATCATTCACGAAATCTCGCGTGAAGATGATATTGAAATCATCTTTTTTTTTAAGGCATTCAAATTATTATGGCTTATTCTGCTAAGTTTGAAGAATACATAAATATACATAAATATACATAAATATACATGAATATAATGATGTGTACAAGGTGTTTACAAGGAATTTAATCCTGTAAACAGAAGGAAAACAGTTGATTGTAGAAAAAAAAAGTGGTTTTGTGAGGGAAAATCGAGGGGGTAATCATTCACGAAATTTGGCGTAAAGATAATATTGAAATCGTCTTTTTTTTAAGCATTCAAACTATTATGGCTTGTTCTGCTAAGTAATTGAACATTAAATAATTAAATGCAAATTTCAATAGACTGAAATTCTAAGCAGTAGTTACTTGAATTTTTCAATTGTCAATCATTTTCATTGTTACTGAAAGAGTACTGGATTTTTTGCGAAAGATAATGATGAAAATCTGTCGTGAAAACAAATAAATCGCCCAGAAAGAAGAAGAATCATCGAGAAAGTGGGGATACGTGGTAAAAGTGCCCTCGCGTGGAGATGAGGGATGCTCTGTGAATCTTCTAGCCGAGAAGTACCTTGGCAAAGCTGTTATGTAGAATATAAGTTGAAGTAGGTATACATACAGATTCAAAGGATGATGGGAGAGAGTGAGGCCACAGATGCCGCAGCTTTGTCAGCATTCCTCCAAGATTGAGCTTCAACACGTACAGTGTTAAAAGGGGCAAGTATGTTACAAGTTTTCCCGGATAATTTGGAAATGGAAAGAAACAATGATAACATAGTGCCTCGCTAAAATGTTAAGGATGAAGTCGGTGAAGTTGATTGTGTGGTGAGTAGACTGTGTACTTTTTGTGTTGGCTCGAGGGGCTGGGAGTAAAATGAAGAAACGAAAAGCAAAGATAAAAGGTCTGTGACGAGGGTCAGGATATCGGAGGAGAAAATGGTGGGGTTTGGCTGAGGATAAAGTAGACGAGTAAACATTTGGGAAACAACTTGAGACCGAACCTAGATGGCTAGGGGAATCGGAGATGTGACGACATGGCCGGAGTGAAATGACTGAGCACGAGGAGTTTTTAAAAGAAAAATGCACATTGAAGCTATAATATTAAAAGGAGAAAGAGTGAAATTGGATAGTCACTGCATCATCTGCGAAGTTTTTCCAACGGAGTTTTTTGAATGGGGAAAATATCCTAATCAAACCCTAAAATTCAATCTTACAACTTTTTGGGAATTTAAGAAACAGTTATGCATTCAAATTTTCAATGTTAAGAATTTGGACGTCCTTATTCATGTTGTAAATTGAAAGAAAGTGAGTTTTTTGTAGAAGACGAGCATTGACAGCACGAATTTTCAAACTTATTGGGAAAATTGGACATTAATTTCCATTGTATTTCCAATCGATGAACAATTATAGCAGTAGTTGCCTGAAGTTTCCAATTTTTAATAATTGTCATCGACATTGGGATGTGATAGTGGTAATCCCATTGAATATTCTCCAAATTTCATGTAAATTGCTCATCGTCAAGTTTTCAGGAACTTGCCCTCAAAATTTCCGGAGTAATTGAATTGAAGAGATCAACTAACTCTCATTTCTCGAGAACCGAGTGGAAATTGACAATTGAAAGTCATTTAAAATTTAAGTAACAATTGCATTTACCCTTTCAGTCTCACGAATTTGAATTCAATTCAAGATCAATTCGTTCACGAAATTGCTTATTAACTTTGAAATTTCACCGAAATTGTATGCTCAAACTTATTGCGAAAAGCAAACACTAAATTCCACCGAATATTCAATAAATTTGGAATTCAGAAGAGTATTGATGGGGGAAATCTCCGAGTCAAGGAGAAAATTAAAAACTAAAGACATCTCATGATCTTTCTTGTTTTAAACAAAGTTATAAAGCAAGAAAACTCACCACCATTAGCTTTCAAATCATCCGGCTGACTCCTATGAAGTTCCGGCTTCGCCAGCATGGAGAGCGGATGTGCAGCAGCACCTGCTGGATTAGCACCAGCACCAGGTGGAAGTCCCAAACCAAGTAGAGCAGCAGAGGCTGAAGTGGGCACAGGTAGTCCACCACCAGGTCCCAGCCCAGGTAGTCCAGGAATCCCAGGATGTGGGCCCATTGCAGCACCTGGTGGCAATTGTTGGGCGTGCATCTGCTGCAGTAGCCTCGGCAAATCCGGCCTCTGTTGCTGCAATGATAATTTCTCTGTTGAGGTTTACATGTTACGCGTACATTTATTTTTCATACTGCCCATGTGGCAATTACGATGTGTAAATAGCGCAAAGCGATGGGCAGACAGAAAGAGTTGGACTCGGGGGGGTTTAAATTGAATACGTGGGCTTCGTTATCTCACTCCCTGTGTTTGTGGAACGTGTCAATTATCGTCATCGATACATAAATAAATTCACTGGCTCCGGAAAAAAGTATGAATAAAAAGAAGAGAACATTCTAGATCTGTTCGGTAATATTTCACATGGCGGTTTCAGGATGGCATAATGAGACGATAAAATGAGAGTTGAAGATGAAAATATGCAGAAAGCAAATTAGTATATAATGAAAACGAAAAAGAATGTTTAGACTTCCCGCGAGTTTGCCGAGGTAGTTGAATAGCTTCATGAATTCTGAGAAAACAATTTTGATATAACTACTCCATAGAATAACGGAAAATCAAGTGTGAAGAGAACGAGTAACAAGTTGAAATGAAAGAATAAGGGAGAATGGTATCATGAGATGATAAAATGAGTTGTGAATGTGAGAATATCACGCAGAAAGCAATTTAGTGGATGGCGAACAAGAAAAAGACTGTCTACACAACTGTAAACAGTTCTAGACAGAAGTTAAACGAGTATGTTGGGGTGAATGAAGGGTAGCCGGCGAGAGATAGAACCCGAGGGGAGCAAGCACACTCGTTAGTGCGGATTGGAAATGCTGGAAGTACATTGTTCTAACCGAAAGACTAGTCGGCGGCAGGAAGGGCATGAGAAGGCACATGATAATGCAATAGGTTGAGTAAGATATGAGGTGAATATTGTGTCGAGTTTGCCGAGGTGACTGAATAGTTCAACGAAATATTATAATAACTACAGTACTACGTAGAGAACTCTTGGAACACATAATTTTGATATGACAACTCCATGGACTAACGGAAAATCAAGTGTGAAGAGAACGAGTAACAAGTTGAAATGAAAGAATAAGGGAGAATGGTATCATGAGATGATAAAATGAGTTGTGAATGTGAGAATATCACGCAGAAAGCAATTTAGTGGATGGCGAACAAGAAAAAGACTGTCTACACAACTGTAAACAGTTCTAGACAGAAGTTAAACGAGTATGTTGGGGTGAATGAAGGGTAGCCGGCGAGAGATAGAACCCGAGGGGAGCAAGCACACTCGTTAGTGCGGATTGGAAATGCTGGAAGTACATTGTTCTAGCCGAAAGACTAGTCGGCGGCAGGAAGGGTATGAGAAGGCACATGATAATGCAATAGGTTGAGTAAGATATGAGGTGAATATTGTGTCGAGTTTGCCGAGGTGATTGAATAGCTCAACGAAATAATAACTACAGTATTAGGTGGAGAACTCTTGGAATACATAATTTTGATGACTGCTCCACGGAATAACGGGAAATCAAGCGTGAAAAGAACGAGTAACAAGTTGAAATGCAAGAATCAGGGAGATTGCTTAATGATTGAGTTTCTGGTCTCAATTCATGAAAATCGTTGGAAGAAGTGGCAGTTGCCTTCGCCAAGTATATTACGTCTCCTGGATTCTACTGTGCCACTCGGATCAGCAATTCCAAGCTGGATGTTATAAAGAGAAGGGGATAGGAGCTGACTCTGCGGAAGTGAAAACGAAGGAGTAACAGACAAAAAGAGGATAAAAGGAGAATAAGGAAGGTAGCAACACGAACCGTTGAGTTCAGACTTTGAACTTGTATAAAATTCAACTTTATTATTTTATAACGTGAGAGGAAGTGTTTCAACAGTTTTTCTTTCACTTTTCAATTCTGAAGATGAAGTGTTTAATTACTTGACTGATAAGTGTGATCTATTCAATGAACAAATTGTGAAATTTATGAAATTTCAGGGAGCTATCTCTAAAATTTCAAAAGTTTCAAATTTCCTATGAGAAGTTATCGATATTTTTCAAAATGTAGGTTGGCCACATCAATCTTCATCAACGTCTGATCGAAGTCAATGTGCTTTGTTTTTGAAAAATAATAACTTTTTGTAGGAAACTTGTTTCAAAATTTGCTGTAATCAAAGGTCTTCTGTCCCCCCTTAACCAAGATCCTGTCACATGTGTCCACAAAGAGTTAATTGCGTCAAAGATTGTTTACGGGTCAGTGAGACTCATTTCCAGATGACATGTCCAGGTTTGGTGAATCTCGTTTGGTTAAGTTCATTCTGGGGTGTGTAACGGTTAGAGTTACGGAATGTACTACCATATGAAATTTCTCGTGGGACAGATGTAAGGGTAAGAGAACAGAATGGGGTAACAAGAGAGAATGCAATGGTGGAACGAAAGGAGTGAGAAGGGAATAGGTTAAAGGAGCCGGTTAAGAGGCACTCGGGCTGCCAGGGATACTTGTATCCTACTAAGGATTTGCGGCACGTACCGACAACGTCGTGCACACAACGCTTGGATACTAAGTTTCTCTCTTACTCCGGGCTCTCTGCTATATCCCGTCTTTCCATGACCGGGGTTTCGAGCATGGAATGTTGATTAGTCGTTGCCCGAGCACTGTATAACACTATAACTTATCCAGCCAAGGGTAAGCGCACCCTTCCCCCAAGCCAACTCCAGCCAAAGACTCGGGATAAGATGCAGAGGGGGTCTTGGTGGATGAAGTAGTGAAACGGAAAGGGAGACGGAATATGTTGGGAGGGGTGAATGAGAAGGAGGATTGCGGGGGTTGGGAGAAGCCCGCGGCTTAATAGGGAGGAAATTGAGTGCTCGAGCAATATTGAGGAGGATTTGCGGATGGTAGTGCCAGGGAGGAGTTGAACGTATCCAGTCGCTTTTAGATTTTACCAGCGCATATCGGTTTCCGTCTTTGACTTAACAGCCACATCGTGGTTCTCATTCATCTCAATCTGTCTATTGAAATTATTCATTGGATTTATTTTTATCACATACCCCAATTATGGCGTTGAGCTCTGACATGGTGACTTGTTTCGCTCTGTCCACAGCTGTCATCACTTGCTGATGCTGCTCCTGTGATAAATATGGTAAAATCTGTCCAATAATGCCGTTCAGTCTCTTTGCTATTTCCGTCTGAAACATCAAAGATATTTTGGGATTAAGATCTTGATCATGGAATAACCATTCAAGCGGGTAAATGGAATCTGCTATTATGGAAATTACAAACATGGCAGAAGCAGTCAACTGCAATATTCAAAGGCAGGGAGAAAACGATCCCGTAAATTGAATCCCACATTTACCAGCCGGAATTTGTCAACGTCAAGACCATCTTACATAACCCCTTTTCCCCTTTGAAAAACATTACTCAGCGTGAAACTCTGGTCTGCATTGATTTTTTTCCTTCATTGAATGGCTATTATTGAATTAGAAATGGGGTTCAATTGAAAATAAGGTTAGACATAAATAGGAGAAAATGAGGAATTCATGGGGGGGGGGGGGGTTGTATTTACAGTTCAGGTGGAGGAAGATTGACACGAATTAAATTAAAACAACCGGAAGTAGGAAGGTCTCGTCGACGATCCAATCTCCGGCGACGACTAACGCAATTACTCAGACAAACCGTGGAGATTTACCTCCCTTCTTTTCAGTAGTTTTTCCATCAGTTAACCTGTCACGCCAGCAACAACAACATGCTTATAATTTGTATTATCTCTCAACGTCTTAACAAGAGACTGAGAATTTTTATGGTTTCAATTAATTTCGTCTTCCGCACATTAACCGACGCCCCTTTTAAAAAACGGAGAGTAATTTAGATACAAGTTCATCAATTTTCTAAATAAAGCACAAGAAAAATTCCAATGTTGGCACTAGAGAATTTTTAGATCATGTGCTGAACGGAATTATCAATAAATCCTTAAGCACAACAGTAATTTCTTGACAGAAAATGCAGCACTAAAACTTCTCGAAATTTCCCCACAAAAATTCCCAGTCTTTTCTTTTCGGTAACAGCTTCTTATTATTGCGTATATTTACGATTATGCTCACGTAAGCGTGTAGCAGTAAAGTATAAAATAACCCCTGGGTTTCGTGTCATAGCATCGTTAATGGGTCTGGCACGGAGCCCTTCCTTTCCGTCGCCCTTAAACGAGCACCAAAAAGTGTGAAGGGCGGCTCCCACAGAGAGTAGGGGTTGAATCGCTCTGGCAGTGGTGCCGCTAATTGAAATATCGCAGCCACACGGAGATCCTAAATACGCTCGGAGGGTACATAGCAGGGGGGGGGGAACGAGTATATCTACCGGAAAGGGGATGAAATAAGTGGAGAAAAGCGGAAAAGGGCGAGAGCAGAAACTGTAGAATAATGCAGGAAAACCGAGGAAAAGGGAGTCGTTGTTTAATTACTCGTTGTTTCACTCTCATCGTCAAGCGCGAGGAGATTGAATTTCTCGTGGGCAACAGAGAGATACAGATTGGTACCGTCCTGATTGTTGATGAGGGCTCCAAAGGGGTCTAACAATTGAAAGAGAAATACGAGTATGAAATACTTTAGACGGGCGAGTGAAAAAGACATAAAGTCAAAATAGCAAGACAGTGGAACAAAAAAGTGAACAGGAAGAGGAGTCAGAAGAATTGCAGGTAACAGAAGAGATGAAAAAAACTGGGTGGAAAGGAGAATGAGCGTGGAGGCGGGGAGCAGCTGCAGACGTAATTGCGTTGCCAAGAAGTTTTCCCCGGGCCAGAGGTAACCAAGAAAATAATGAATGGGGTATATAGAGAGAACGGGGGGAGTGGGGATGTAAAGGGGAGTGGGTTTCACTTTAGCTACTGCAGCCTTTTTCCGGGGTTACCAAGTTGTTTTCATACTACACCCAGAGTGCTTTATCATATTTTCCTTTCCTACTATATACTTATTTAATTTTCCAAGTTTGCCTTTTCAGGAATGACGGATAAAACTTTATGATTAGTTATTGCAATCTCTGAGTTGATTCAAGCCTAAACAGCCGATAAATGAACAAAGTACAATGGAGCGACAAGTGGGAGGGTAAAGCCGACAAGTAAAAAGAAACTCAAGATGATAATCAGAAAGTGGAAGTGAGCTTTACTGTTAACCAAGGCGAAAAGTCGTGGCATGAAAATGCAAAAGGACGTGGGTACGCCGATAAAATTTTTCGCCTGTGAAACGGTGACGTGAACCGAATACTTCCCCCAAGCCACCTCATTCCATCCTCAATTTTTGCTTTCCTCGTTTCTACCTCATTCTCTATTTTTCCTTTTTTCCTTGTACGTTTTCATCTTTTTTTTTCACCCTCGTCTTACTAGCTGACTATACCACTCCGCTTTCTCGACGACGTCGATACTCCAATAATCCAATACTCTATCCAGGCAGCCTCGAATCACGCCATCCTTGTAGAAGAAACCCCCCTTTTCCTTCTTTCGCTCATACCTACATGTAAAAGGATATAACATTCTGCCGTTATATACTAGTGAAAGCCGCCCTACCCAGAATCTCTTCGTATTTTTATGATTCTTTTTATCCCCTTTTATTCAAGCCAACCGTGAGTTTTCAAATGTCGGTACTACACTCAACTCTTGTTTATTTATTTTTATTTTTTCATCCCATTTCCGAAAAATTTTACGACGAGGGTTTTACTGATATCGAGAGCAGGACTACAAATTGTGGTGATATTGATTTACGATACGAGTGGAACCGTATTTTTGTCCACGATAATGCTCTGTGCAAATAGAAGATCTCCTTTCAGTTGAACTTTGAAAGGACAGCTGGGTTAGATACACGATGGGACATCAGAGTTGAGTGGTGGATTGTCGTAGACGACAATATGTGCAGTGGCATTGAAACGCTGGCCCAAGAGACTGTTAGATCGACTATTATGTACTGAGGTTCCAGACTAAACAAGACTCAATCAATTCGAAGCCCGTTGGGCCAATGGGCAAGAGACGACCAGGAGGTAAGATGTCATAGTAGCCAACTAAAGTGCTACAGAGCCCAGCAGTTCAGGGATATCGAATGAGAGAAAAATAATGGCAGTTATCTCCATACAGTAGACGAGCTGAAATCTCATGGAACAAATAAATGGAAAAGCAGAATACATAGAGAGACAAGAATGGAGGCGAAGTGGTCACATGGACTGGGCAAAGTAGGACTCGACAAAGCTCAGGTGCCGGATAAGTGGTTCTCGAGGGGCGACAAGTGCCCGAGACAGACGGCGAAAGATCAGGATGTTTGGATGTTCGAGACCCTCTTTCACGAGTGCCACATCATCACTTGAGGCTCTTGAGGCGCTGTGGGCATGACCCACTCAAAACATCTATTTCTTATTTTCAAACTCGCACGTCCGTACTGTAGCCTTCTGAACCATCACGTCTGTTGATTTATCTAAACCCAACTGAATCCTTGGTATCGTAATAGATGAAACAGATTTCCCAATTCATAAGGAATAGAGGTAAATCAACAGCACCAACACTCAGAAGTTACCGAACTGTTGTTTTCCCATCGCTTCTGTCCCCATCATGCAGGGCTGACGAAGACTATGGAAGTGATGGAGACGTTGATACGAAGTAGAGTTTGTCCGTTGGTAAATAGTTCTACTAACACAGTCATCCAGTGGCTAGCACAAGTCCAAGTGTGTGGGCGAATGAGGTTTAGTGTTCCAGAGGGCCAGAGACGGCGCAAGATGTTTAGAGATTTGAGACCCTCTTCCAAGAGTGCCACATCATCGCTTGAGGCTCTTGGGTGCTGCGGGCATGACCCACTCAAAACATCCATTTCTTTTTTTCAAACTCGCACGTCCGTCCTGTAGCCTTCTGAACCATCACGTCTGTTGATTTATCTTTACCCAACTGACTCCTTGGTATCATACTAATAATAGATGAAACAGATTTCCCAATTCATAGGGAACAGAGGTAAATCAACAGCACCAACACTCAGAAGCTGCCGAACTGTTGTTTTCCCATCGCTTTTGTCCACATCATGTAGAGCTGACGAAGACTATGGAAGTGATGGAGACGTTGATACGAAGTAGAGTTTGTCCGTTGGTAGATAGTTCCACTAACACAGTCATCCAGTGGCTAGCACAAGTCCAAGTGTGTGGGTGAATGCGGTTTGGTGTTCCAGAGGGCCAGTGGCCACTCTCTGGTCGAGGCGATGCGAGGCCACTGGTGACCACTAAGCTCACCTGATATATCCAAGCCTTCTCTCCACTACAACTACAACTATCATTCCCCCCCATCTCATTCTCCATCTCCCTTTGTTAGCCCATGCAACCCTTGATCATCCTTTCCTTTACACAGGCCCGATGCAACCCGTTGCCCAGAGCTTCAAACCACAAGCCACAACGGGCTACTGCCCTGATTAAACGCGCCATACACCGCCATTATCGCTGATTGCGCTAAACATTATCGGACTTACCACCGCGTACCATCATCCATGCACGAGAGTACTAGTACAATTGGATTTTCGGAGTATGGAGGTAGAGATGGAGAGAGTAACGAGAGGGGGACCGACGCATACATGACTATCGCACGTGCGTCATCTACCCATGGGACAATTATTGGCTGGCTTGTGGGGGCTTTCGGCTTTTAGTACTACCGCTTCACCTCCTCTTGTTACCATTTTCACTCTCAACCCTTTCCCCTCCCGCCGACCCCTTGGCACTATACTAGAATTCTCGATACTGTGACATGCTAACATACTCAACCTGCGTTGGTATATGTGGTGTGTAAACCTGATGCCTTCCTGGCTACACTAGAATCATTATCATGGTGGTTTCATTGTTAATCCTATGATGGTATTAGTCCAGTAATTATTTCACTTTTCTGATAATGTTTGGGGTTGCGTTATGCCGACCAATGGTGAGACTTGTATTGTGATTTGGTGGATATATCACGGAAAAAAATATACTTGAATTGAATATACTTAAATCAAGTATATTTTATACTCAATTCAAGTATAGTTTTTATTTCTATATATTCTTGTTTTTGCAAGATCACCATTTGATTAGAAAATGAATAGAAATGGTATAATTAAGCCTGAAAATTGATGATCGTGTATAAAACGTCAGGTGTTTCTTCTCGAATTGAATTCAATCATCAGCAGAATTTCAATTAATTTTTTTCTAGTGTGTCTCAAGCTTCGTTGGTCTGCTGGAAACTTGTCCCCATCAACAGAGGCAAAAGGAGAAGTGAAGTTTGTAGAGTGTGAACAACTTTGTAACAATTTTAAGCGAGTCTGGCGTCTACGGGGACCCTACTTAATGGATATGGGCAGACGTAATTAACGGTGGCGTTCATCAGTCGCGCATAACAAGGTGGCGCGCACAGACTAGATAGCAAAGCAGGCATAGCTAACACCCCCTTGTTCTCACTCATTTACATTTGCACTCAGATCCCTGGAGGCTTTCCGCAAAACACAAATTAACGTCACACTGTGTACAACCGGGGAATTGAATGATAAAAAGTAGATAACCGCATTGACAATCCCTCGAATTAGCGCAAATTGGCTGCAGTGATTCTCATGCAAGCTCCTTTGCCTGACCAGTGGTGGAGCTGGCTACTTGGAAGTGGTGGGCATGCAATGAGAGGAATCGGAGCTGTGTTTCTCAATGCGAATGTCTTTGAGATTAATTGTAGGAAAATATTTATGGAAATTCATTAATTTTGTTCATTTATTGTGCATTCATTCATTTTAGATTAATTCAATGTTCTGTAGACAGTGGAATGAGAGACGTATTTAAAGGCGGTGATGAGTTTTCATTTCGAATACTGCGCTATTAGATTTTTTTAAATTTAAGTAAACATTTTAATTTTCAATGTTTTTACTTTGCAGTCAATTTGAGAGCGAATCGCTCAATTTCCTGGAATTCTGTCTTTGAACATTCACAATTTTGTGGGAAAGTCGAGTGAAACTGTTAATTTCAGTTCGACTATTCTGTGGAATTGAACGAAATTCCGGTGAACGTATTCTTAATTTTTTAATTAATTGAGAATTCAGTGACATTTAGTCTTGAATATTCATGTTTTAATGGAAAATTCAAGTAAAGAGAGGAATTCTCGCCTCTCTGGTTTTCAAAAATTCGCAATTTTATTGAATTTTTAGTGAAATTCGTAATCTCAGGATTTTTATTTTCCCTAAGTCTATTTCAGTAGTGAAGCGGTAAACCGAGTTAAGTCGATTTTGACTATTAGCCAGTTTTTGCTGAATATCTCGGAATCTAAGAGAGATAGCAAAATTTTTCTCATGACTTTTTTTATAACGCTCTATTGGCTCTACAAAAAAGGTAATGACAAAAATCTTTCTATCTCTTTTAGATTCCGAGATATTCGTCAAAAACTAGCCAATAGTAAAAATCGACTTAACCCGGTTTACCGCTTCGCTACTGATTTCGAGATTGTTAGAAATTTATCACTGAAATTTCCGGTACACTTCTAGGAAATTTTTATCACATTATAGTTCTATTGAAAATTCAAGTAAAATGATAAATTCTCAAGTGTCTGATGCTCGCAAAGTTCGAAATTTCATTGAATTTTCATTAAATTTGAAATTTAACGTTTTTTTTCCCCAAATCAAATTCTTCTAAAAATTACTACTGAACTATTTAAAAAAAATTAAATTTCATGGAAATGGACATGGACTCCACCACTAATTGAGAAGAAAAATCATGAAATTCCAGATTTCCCTGAAAACTCAATGAAATTCCAAATTTCTGAACACCAGAACTCGAGGAATTCTCATCTCACCTGACCATGAGACGAGAATTTCTCAACCTATTTGAATAGTCGATAAAATCATAAATATTCATCGCCAAATTGGGATGAATTTTCGACTAACTGAAACTATTTAATCAACGTCCTAATAATTTCCACACCAGTATACCGAAAATTTCCGCCAGCACTCTTCAACACTCCAACAGTGAATTTGCATTTACTTTTAACGACAAATTGGTGAAGTAAAAAAGGTGATGAGTACCGAGGTCGTGACCTTCTTTTGTACCCTAACATCAACTGTTGATGGGTATGAAGGTACATTGGCTGGTTTACCTCTGCATACGTCGATAAAAGGAGAGACGGAAAAGGTGGTAAACGAGGCGAGCCTCGTTCACCGGTATTACCATGCGTTTAAGTATGCATGTGCAGGGGTGTGTACACATTAAGCTATCTGTCGTTGTATAACCCCGCGTGGTTGCATGTAAATGAAGCATATTAAAGTCAACGACAGGACCCTGGGGATTGACTCCCGGCAGGCTTTTTCGTACAAAGTAGAGCAAGAAGAAAATGTTGTATGAAACCTACACAAACTCAGGCTGTACCGCAAAGGACTAGTCGTAAAAGTGGCGAGGGCGATAAAAACAGCGGACAACGGGGGGACACAGCGACCCTCACGTATAAAGTGTGCTCTCTAACGGTAGGCAATAAAAAGAATATTCCTCTTGAGGGGATTGGCACAGCAATTTGAAGCACTGAAGTGGGAAGAGAAGGCGAGGGTGGATAAAAATCGAACGTGGCTGGCTAGCACATGGCAGATGAACGTGGGAGAAACTTAACCCAAACCTAAACGACCTTTGACAATTGAGTACGTGAAAATGGGAAATTTAATGCTGCTAGACAAGGTGAACGCGTTATTAGGGTGAGGGAGGATTGTTTTGGGTTGGACATGATAAAGAGAGTCATTGTCGGAATTCACTTGAATTAATCAGGATTAGTATTTTTCAATGAATAATCTTTGGTAAACGAAAAGTCCTATATCCCAATGCAAGTTTGGCACATGTCGATGTGGAGATGTTATGTCCCAATTAATTACACGTGAATATTCTATTTTGTGATAAAACAAAATTAAAACATATCGAGAGTCACGAAATTATGTTTTAACGATTTGTGTACCTATTCTTTTGATCAGGGATCGGCAAAAATCGTTATCAAGTCATTTTAAAAGAAGTTTACTATAGATTCACAGTTCCTTACTTTTTTATTTAAATTTGAAAACAATTTTTAATTCGCAAATGTAATTAACTAAAAAATTCTAAATATCTGAATTTCATTTTTCAATTAATCAAATGATCATCATTCTTGTGAAGTTGACTACTGATTTGTAAAATATTTGCAAAATTGTACTAAACAGTTACCTGATTTTATGTGTAATGGAATCATTTTAATTCGGGTGTCCCGATTTTGCCTATCTCTGGTTTTAATTGTCGATATTTCAATGAAATATTAATATAACGCTATTGTTTACGCATTTTTATTGAATTGTCAACTATCCGAAAGCTCATCTAAAGAAGCTTCAATCCCATTCTACAAGTCCCACGAAGATGTCAAAAAAAAATTGTGAATTCCGTCACTTACAGTTTGAGAATTTACTCTGTCGTAGCACCGGTTGCTGTGAATGGGATTTGTCTCCTTCACTTTCCAATGAATCTCTGGTTTTGCCGTCTATAACTTTCCTTATCAACTACCATAACGACTCCAATCATATCAGTAGCGAAGCGGTAAAACGGTTCAAGTCGATTAATCCCTTAGCTGAGTTTTCGAAAAATATCTCTGAATCTAAAGGAGATAACGAAATTTTTGTAATTACCTTTTTTGTAGAGCGAAGTGAGCGCAAGAAAAAAGGTTATGACAAACATTTTACTATCTCCCTTAGATTTCGAGATATTCATTCAAAATTGCTCAACAGTAAAAATCAACGTGGACCGTTTTACCGCTTCGCTACTGATATTTCACATTTAACAGATTTCTGGAACTCGATAGTGATTCCGAAACATTTCGAGTGAGCTAACAGAAAAGCAGAATATAAAAATATTATACCCCAACCAAATTTTAAAAATTCACCAATTTTTCATTTTCAACTCGAGTAATACCAGTGGAAAAGGCTGAGCGTAATGGAAGAGTGGTCAGGTTGTTAAAAAAAAATCTGCGAAAATGGATGAAAGGATGAGATGGTAGCCAGAAGGCATGATAGAATGGAAGAGCTCGAAAGAGAAAAAAATAAAATGAGTTAGTCTCGCCGCTTTGGTCTCTATCGGTGAAGCCTGATTTTTTCGATATTGGTCCTCTCATCCGCTTTTTCCTATCCTCCACTCATCAATTTTCTACCCCCTTTTTTATCATAGCTCGCACTGCCGTCTATCTCTTTACTTTACCATCCCATTCGTTGCCTCACTTGAGTTGAAAAAAAAAGCCTCAAAAAATTGGGACAAATAAAAGAAAAAAAAAAGTGGAATTGAGTGAAATTGGCGAGGCACTGATCAATGATATATCTATACTGAAGGCTCGCTTAATGGATAAATGAATAGATAATGAGTGAACCAGAGACTCGTAACTGGCAAAGCAGCTGAAAGAGGAGAGACAGAGGATTGGCGAATATAAATGGAAATATCGGTGGGAAAAGCAACGAAATCGAATTATTTTCGCTGGTTGACGATATTTTTCATGCGTGAATTTTACGGATCCGTACCTCTCTCGTTTCATATAAATATATTTTCCATTCCCCTCACCCCCCCCCCCTTCNCCCTCGCCCTGCCCCTGTCGATTCACAATCCTCCACGCCTCCCCAGATACACATATACCCATGCCTACCACACATTTGAAAACACATATCGAAAAACAATCCCTCTTTTCACAATGATAACGAAGCTCACCGACCCTCCCCGGCTCTCCGGTTAAATTCACGTTTGTGCATCGTTTATTCCCGGATTTTCCAATTCCCAACTAATCCAGCGGCATTCGCGTTGATTATTTATCAACATTGTCCGATAATAGTATTTATTCTAATGTCTCACCTGCTTGTGCATCTCCACGTTGAGTCCATATGACATTTCGTAGTACTGAAAATAAAATAAAAAAATATTAATTTAATGGTTAATGGGCGTCTAATAGAGAGTGTCTGCAGGGAGAAAAATTTATACCAAAATTACCCGCACGGGGAGAAATATGGAAAAAGATTACGCGTATCTGGGAGACCCGGGTTCGATTCCCGGCTGGGTGAAGCGGAAATTTTTTCTCTCTAAATTCTCATTCTCTTAGAATTTTTTTTTTTTTGTCACGTACATTCTGAATATATTCTCCCTTTTACGTATTTTTCTGGAGCGAAATGTGATTGTAGGAAATTTTACGGAAGTGTCACGGAATTTTTGCACTTAAATTCAGTAGCGAAGTGGTAAAACCGTTTTAAGTCGACTTATCTCCCCGTTGAGTTTTTGAGGAATATTTCCGAATCTAAGGGAGATAGCGAAATTTTCATCATAGCATTTGTTGTAGCTCTCAATCGGGTCTACAAAAAAGGTTGTAACAAAAATTTTGCCATCTCCCTTAGATTCCGAGATATTTATTGAAAACTGGTCAATAGTCAAAATTGGCTTGTACCGTTTTACCACTTCGCTACTGAATTTTCTGAGTCGATTCCGTAATCGGTGAGCGAATTGTGAGTTCCGTAATTTTTACTGAACATTTCTCTCCGTACGTGAAACATTGTTATTGAATTTTTACTGGGGTTCAGTGGGGGGCGATTTTTGTTACAAATTTCTCTCCGCGTGTGAAGTGTGGTTACAAAAATGTTGTGAAGATGAATGAATCATGCATAAGCGTTCATGATTGATGATGGTGCATGCATTTAGTAGGTGACGGTGTCCGAACGCACACTGTTGGAAATTTTCGGTATATTTCCGGGAATTTTTTCATCAGATTGAGGAATTTCGACGTTCAAAGTTCACTATTTTATGGGAAAATCAGTGGAAACTAATTTTCAGATTGATTATTCCATCGGAATTAACAAAAATCACGAAAATTCGGGTGAATATATTCTTGAATATTCAATTGATGCAGAATTGAGCGTAATTTGTGTACTGAATATTCATGGTTCGATTGGAGAATGTTAATTTTTGCATTAATTTGACAACTAATGGGGGAAGATCGATTATCTTACTAAAATATAGGTTGAAATTTTCCTGACATTTCAACAACAAAATTGCCATATGACTAACTATCAATTTATCAATAATTTTTTAAGATACAAAATGTGTTTCAAAAAAAAAAAGAATGAGTCCATGAAAGCCAAGAAAAATATCATGAAATAAATCCGATGAAAAAATCTAAGATTAAACTTTTTTGGAATTTCAACAACAAAATTCCCAATTCACCAATCATTTTTCAAGATGTAAAATAGTTTTTAGCAACAAAACAATAGGTTCATGAAAGCAAAAAAATATAAATATAAATCCAATGAAAAAATCAATGAAAGTTGCTAATTTCAAGTCAATAAATTCATCAAAATGAATAGAAATCAGGAAAATTCAGGTAAATATATTCTGAAATTTTCAATTAATTGAAAGTTCGTTAAAAATTTAAGTCAATTGGGGAGTTCTCGTCTGTTCTGCTGCTCAAAAATTCCGGATTCCATTGAATTTTAACTGAAATCTGAAATTTCATGATTTTTCCTTTCTAAATTGAATTCCCTGTCACTGTCCAGAAAATGACAAATCATCCATGAAATTTCCCTGTTTTTCCAACAGCGCTGGATAAATACCGAAAAAATATATCAATAATATTCAACACGTTGAAGAGCGAAAGAGGAAGCGTCTTCGATGACATAAGAGACGAGTTCATAACTGTAAAATTAAAAACACTGGACTATGAAAATAAAATAAAATTGAGTTAAGTCTCTCTCATATTCATTTCTACCATACATATTCCGTCGTATATTGGAGGGAAATAAAAAGGATACTTTTTACCGAGTGAAGATATATAATTTAACGAGCAAAACAGCGAGTTATGCGAATGAAGACTCATAAATATTTCTATAGAGTGCGGTTTAGCGAAAACCTGAAGAAAACTCACCAACTATCGAGTCGACCTCGTCGTCGCGTATACGATGAACGAGGCTTTAACGAGCGTCCCGAATACCACGGTAGTCCACGGCGTTATCCCGCGTGCCAACGACCATTGTAAACGTCTTTTATGAGGGTCATAAAGAGACTGGTTGGTGCACACACCATGAACACATATATATTTGTGCAAGACGCAAACTGGGGGGTTTTAACAGGCGTTTTGCACACGTATACATGGAGGTGTACTTATTTTGGTGAATGTAAGTGGCACCACACGATAAACGATCATGATTCTCATGAATTTGTGCATTCAATTCTCGTCATCAATGACGGCTATTGGAAATGTCATTCTCAGTTGATATACAGCTCGTTAGAAATTCAGATATTAAAATTTTAATATACAGAGAGGGTAGTGGAGGAATAATTCTTCAATGTTGAAAGTTTTTCTTTGCAATCTCTGGTAAATTTATTGGAAATTTTTATCAAGTGACAGTTCCACTGAAATTTCAAGGAATTTCGTCATTGAAAATTCACAACTTGATGGACAAAGTGAGAACACGAACAAAATTTCTTATAACAGTGTTATAAGAAAGCAGAGTAGAGAATTGCTGGAACAACCGCAATGTTCATTTTTTTTTAATCAGTCAAATTAATTCAAGAAATAATCGATTCACTTGATTGTGATTTCTGCTAATTATCATGGAATAATTAAACTGAAAATTCAGTGACATAATTCATTGAAATTTCAGTGGAACTAGACATAATTAAAATTTTCAAAATAAATGAAAAATTCCATGAACGCTCTGATCCCAAATAGATTTCTAATTCACAAAACTGAAAGTTGAAACTCCACTGTTATTAAATTTTCAAAAAATTCCTACCAATGTGATAAGACAATTATATCGAGGTGCAAAATGAGCCGCGATAACGTTAAGTGAGCAACTGGGAGCGGTTAATCAGGGGATTAAAATGGAAAACTCAGAACTATTATAAAGGAAGCAAAAGGAATTATTCCCTCTCGACTTTTCTTTTCCGTCGCAATTAGTCTTCAATTAACGCACCTCACCGAGGATTTCCCCCTGGTAATTTCAACCGTGAGAGCGGTTCTAACTCATTCGTTATTCCACGGAGATGTGCCCGCATTAACAAAGAATAGTCAGAAATGAAAATAAAAACGAGGAATCAGAGTGGAATGGAAGAGAATAATGGATGACAGCGATATCAAGCCCTTGCGTAGAGTTCTTCCATAATTTGGTAACATCTCTGAACTATATAAAACTCTTGAAGATACATGCACGAAGAATAGTTTTCAACGATCTGTCGGGCGCTCGTAAAAGTTCACGAGCTCGACAATTACATGAGGGAGTCGTAAAGACGAAATGCCCGGTGGGAGATTAGGTTAGATGGATATAACATTTGAATATATGTAGCCCACGAGATGTTGAATACTTACGGCCATGCTGAATCGAAAATAAAACTTTACCTCCATTTTGCTCGGGCAATAAAAAAATATGCTCGTGCTGAACGGATATTTATTGATATCTGTATAGTGATACAGCGACCATCTTCAGTCATGATGACAAGAATATGCAGAGAATAAATTTGGAAAATAAAAGAAGAAGATAGGAGAGAGAAAAAAACTACATAATATCACAGTGAGAGAAAAAATTAGTTGTGACAAAAAATTGTATACACTGAGAGAAAAACAAACACGTTGTCAAACAAGTCTTGTTTGGGCCAACAAAATCGCTAGTTGAAAATTGCCAAAAAAGAATTTATTTGGCTTGAATTTGAAAGTCTCAAACATGAATAATTGTTCTACTTTCGACAGCAACGAAATATTTGGCTCAAGAGGCGGATAATTCACACCAGACGGTGCCTTTTCAGGATGAAAATATCTCATAGAGAGGCAAATTCATCAATAAATATTTTATCCCTAAGTTACAAGATTGCTATCATATCATTATTATTGTTTCATTTAAGGGTTCATTTCTCGTCTATGATTATTAGACAGCCGAAACGAAAAACTACTGTCCCTTGTTTCGCATAAAACAAAGATTTTTCGGGAGCAAAATGCGTATGGGAGTATCGAATAACGAAGGAGTAGTGCTAGAAATGACATTTCTTGCGTGTACAGAGAATGCAATTTTTTTGAACTACAAAATCTATTTTTGCGATAAAAAATTTTCATTCCGACGCACTCTCTGAATGTTTGGCACAAAAAAATCCTTTTTTGATAATTTTCAAAAAACTATTTTCTTGGCATAAGTAAGACTTGTTTGAGAACTTTGTCGTTTTTCTATCAGTGTACGTTCCACGTGAGAATATTTGATGGAGTGACGCAGATTTAGTTGAGGCATATTCGAGATTTTGACATGACCATTAGGAATCTCCCTGAAAAATATAATTTATTGTACACGTTGAGAAATGTTGATAAAAAGTGACGCATAATAAATTTTACTCTTCCAGTCCAATAATTTTTATGTAGATAACAACGAAAATTCTAGAACGGTTGGTAAATTTTACTCTACCAGTACAGTAATTTTTACTCTACCGGCGCGGTAATTTTTTGTTTTATCAGGATACAATTTCTCTAACGTAGAATAAAATTTGATCATCATATATTAACTTTTACTAAATTTCGGGATAGAAATGAGGAAACGAGATGACTCATGATCCACTTTCATAGACCGATAGGATAATTTTTATCAAAATTTCTCTCCGTGTACCACTATCATTTGATCCGAGAGAACTCCGTGGGTTTATATCATAGAAAGAATACATTGTCGACGAAAGAATATTTTTTTCTCATAAAAAAATCCCCTAGAAATTATTTAGTTTTGCCAAAAAACAAGGTTTCCGGTGGAAAATTCGAGTTTTCTCTAAAAATGATGTTTTGTTCCATGGAAATTATAAATGTTCACTGGATAAATATCAGTGACAGTCACTCGATAAAAACGGAATCTCATCCAATTCTCTACAGAACTAATGTATTTACACGGAAGACATAGATGTCTTCCGAGAACATTTACTACTACGGGAATTATCATGTTTTGATGGAAACATTCTTTATTGCCTGCAACTAAATTGATTTAACATGACAAAAGATCTCTTCTGGAGAATATATATTTTCGGTAGAATTAATTTTAGTAGAATTAATTTTTTCTCTTAGTTCTTCCTCTTAATTTCTTGAACAAACTCCATCACCTGAGGATATGTACGACGAATTCCGTGTTCAAGACTTGAACATGAACATTTCACGATAAAGTGACAATTTTTTGATTCGACAAATTGTTGTTTTTTTTCACTAAAATTCCATTTTTGCGAAAGACATTAAATTTCCGCCTATCAAGTTGGTGAATTTCCCTCAAGTAGGAGCAGGCTTTGGTATTAAATGAATCCAGTTATGAAGTTATGCAAACGGAAATCTTCAGACATTTCTGAAATATGACTTTCCTCTGAAACTCACTGAGTTTAAAGGAAAGAACTGTCTCGTATTCGTATTTCCTATCGTCTCACCTCAACAAATTATTTCAGTGATATTTGTTTTTTTTTTCTCCCAGTGTGCATGCACGAGAACAAATTCTATCTACTAGATGCAGGCGAGAGCTAGCCCATCCAGAAACAATGCAAAACCCAATAATATCGTTAAAGTAACAATGATTGTTTCAATCACACGCCCTGAGAATTCATTGACTCACCATGACGTAGTGGCGCTGCATCTCCGTCTTCTCCTGGGCGAGTTTCTCCAGCTCCAATTTAATACTGTACAGAACAAGCAGGAAAACGCACGTGTAAGCTAAACATTGGTAAGTGCAGGCAGACATTCAGAAGCATCGATTATTTCATCATTAAAGTACAGCATGATGTTACAATTTAAATAATGTTTAAATAATGATTTATACACTGAGAGAAATCCAGGTGGTGAAATTAATCCGACAATTCATATCTTTATTTTATTTTGAATTTGTTATTTTTTTTTTTCAATTCGAAGTCTAGATCCCTCCAAAGAATTTCAAAGAATTCAAAGAGTTATGGAAAATAAAAATTTTATAGAAAAATCAAGAGAAGCTGTAGATTTCAGGCCAATTATTCCATGAAAATTAATACAAGTCGAAAAAATTCAGGGAAGTATATTCTTAAATTTTCATTAATCAAACATTCTGCGTCATTTGGTAGTGGAGATTCATATTTTGATTGAAAATTTAAAAAATCTGAAATTTTATCATTTTTATATCTTCTATGGAGAAACGGAACCGCTATGTCAATATGAACTTTCACAATTGCGTTTTCTCCTACAATTATTAATTTTGTCTGTGAAATTACTTTATGGACTCGATCATTGCACTGTTGAGTCAATGAAGTAGTTTTACAAATACAAAATAATAATTGCAGTTTCTCCTTAAATTAAATGTAATGTGACTCTCCCGAAAATTCATTGCCCTGATTATAAAATTTCACTCTCCCAATCTCGTCTTATTGACCATCAAAGGCGGTCCATCTTCACCCACTTCAGACCCCACCGTACCATTTTCTTCGAATCAAAATGACCATTTACTAAATTTTCCCAGCCCTTATTCACTCCCCCTATTTTCTCTCAATGTACAAATTAGTGATGCCGCGAGAGACTTTCGAGACATCACGAGACAATACTTTGGAGCGATTGTCTCGGTTTCAGTGAACACAAAAATTTTGGTCTCGTCTCGCTCTCGAACTACGCAGTATCGACTCCCCTCGTGATGGCTTCGAGTTAATTTATCTCATCTCGGTTCCGCGCTTTTCGCGTTTTAAGTAGAGAATCGAGACGAGACAAAGCGAGACAAAAACCGAGAATTAACATTCAAAATAGGAAAACGTGGGACCGAGATGAGATAAATTGCCTGGGAGTCATCACGAGAGCAATCGATACTGCGTATTTCGAGACTGAGACGAGACCAAAGATTTCCATGTTCACTGAGACCGGGACCATCTCTCCAAAGTATTGTCTCGCGATGTCTCGTAGAGTCTCTCGCGGCATCACTAGTACAAATGAAAACTAGTGAATAAACTTCAACCATTATTTCTCCAATTCCAAATTGAATATTTAAAATTCCACCATAACGATAACCTGCAGCGATGGTTACCATCATTCAACATACAGATATCATGAATCATTTTCTCATAAAACCAAGAAACAACTCCGACTTGTTTCACTCGTCCGGGCATACGCTGTGTACGTTTGTGGGCGGTTAGGAGTAAGAGAGGATTGTGTGCACAGCAAGCCGTTAAAACATACAATTAGTGCAGCGGCAGGAAACATTGATAATGATCCTCATGACGGCCGATGTCGTGCGGGTAATAATTAATACTTGTCTCTTGCTCATCGCTCCATCATTATGTATAGTTATACGCATAACCACCCCTCTTTCGCTCCTCTGATTGTAGATTGTGAATAACATTTACCATTGACATTGGATGAGTTATTCAGTGCTATTCACCGGACAATTATCGTGATTTATCGGTGATAATGAGAAAATAAAATGTCGAAGGACTGCGAGATATTTCGGGCTCTTAAATTGCTTTGAGAATCGGGTAATTGTAGAGGAGACGTGCAAGTATGAATCTATGTTATAAATAGGTGCACGGAGAGAAAAATTCAATAAATATTACCAGAAAAAAAACGTAAAAATTACGTTTCGAAACGTAATCCGCGGGCGAAGTAAAATTCAATAAAAAGTGTGAGTCGGAACTGAAATTGTACGAACTGCCACGTAAATTCTACGATTTGTTCCGTAAATATTAACAATTCGTCTGATGACTCACCGCTGTGGGGACAAGTCGTTCCGTAATTTTTCCCCAGCAATTGATAGATTTTACGGAACGGAACGTAGAAATAACTCACCAGCTTCATAAAAATTGTTGAACATTCAAGAATTTTTAATTTTTGAGGCATAATAAGTCGGCAAGTTTCTGTAAGATTTTACTTCTTCGAGAAAAATTACGTGACAATTTCGTACTTTGTTCGGTGATGAACCTGAGAATTCACTGAACCTTTCAGATTTCTTCTCTTCCATTCCTATAAAAATTGCCGGAAAACGATTCCCCATTGTGGATTACGTGAATTGTTCCGTAACTTCTACTGAATATTTCTCTCCGTGTGGTTAATTTATCGATGATTGCAGATGTTGTAGTTATGATGCTTTTATGAAGATTGTTTGTATAAAAGCTATGACTAATTCGTGTTGTAATTCGAGATTATCACTTGGAAAACTAGTATCTGAAATTAAGGCACTTTGTTCTCTTCTTTAAGACGCTTGGGTCGCTAAATTTGAGTTATTTTTAGTGTCTCAAGTTAAGACATTGAGACATGCATTCTAGACATTCTAAGGGTCTTTCTGGAGGACCTTCTGTTTCATATTTTTGAGGCAATCTTTTATTCATTGATAATTTTGATTACAGTGGACACTCCCTGTGATTTCGCTTCTCTAAGATTTCGGTTGGGGAAGTCGACTTCCCCCACCGTTAACAATCTAAGCGTGTGTAAGTTGTGTGTGGGCTCCTCTGCGCGATTGGAATGCGCAATAGGACCACTGGCAGTACGAGAGGATTGGAACAGACAGATTCTTTCTCTCTGTTCCTCCTATTCTTCAGTCAAACCATCGACGTGTGAGCAGGGGCTTCTCCATGATTTAAATTCGTGGAATTCGTTCCCCCGTTTAAGTTTAATTTAAGTAATTAATTTCCATTTGAGACTTATGATCTCAAATTGAAACTTATGGAGGTCTCAAATTGAGAGTATAGAAAATCTTCAATTGAGTTCTAACTCTCAACTTGAGATTTTCTAAAGTTGCAAAATTAAGACTTTCAAATATCTCAAGGTAAAACGTGAAATAGGCTTGAAAGTCTTAATTTGAGACTTTCAAATCACAATTTGAGTCTTAAAAATCTCAATTCAAATCCTCTGACAGTCTCACGTTAAGATCTTCGAATATCTCAAGTTGAGATTTGAAAGTCTTGAGTTAAAACTTTCAGAAGACTAAAATTAAAATTTTCAAGTCTCAAATTAAGACTTGAAAATCTTAAAGTAAGGATTTTGTTCTGGGTATTAGGGAGCATCCACTCTACACTAAAAATAGCAGCCATGAAGCAGTATCTGAAGACAGTTATCAAAATAATCAATAATTTTTGTGATCAGAAATACTAATGAAAAGTATTTTTCATCAGAATAATATTTCAGATTCCTACACCCTTCTGATATTGTAATACTACTATATTTAAATTCCTTCAACTTCAATAATGAAAGACAATGGATAAGTCACAAAGAACGTCTCATGACTGCACGTCTCAACAGAGTTAATGTCTTCTCCCAGTGCCGCAGTCATCAATGACTATTGACTGAACAGTCTCCAAGTGTCTTAAATTGACACAAAAAAATGCCTGAAATTTAGTGACTTGTATTTCAAGACATTACGAAAATGTTCTGTCCACCAAACATCTTGTTCTCATACCGAATAAACGTCTCATTTCAAGACATTCCAAATTTCCATCATCACAAGTTCGCCGGTAGAACACTTTTCGTCTAATGTCTCAAAATAAACGTCTTGAAGACACTAGTTTTCACAGTGCTATTGCTCTTGAATATTCTCCACGGACGGCTTACCATCACGTAATGCCTCTGTATCTCAATTTTCTCACTGGCCAGTTTCTCGCACTCCAATTTTAGGCTGTACAGGCAATAAGAACACGTCAATTAAATCTCATGTTGAGTATCCGGAGAACTGGGAATCACGATGAGTTTTAAAAAAAAAAACTAGCACGTTCGATGTACCTATAAACATCTTCACTATCCAATGGAATATGTCATAAATTCTCTCGCCACCCTTTACTACGGCGTCGTAAAAGTTCTATCGTTTTTGCAGTATGATGATATATGCAAGAGTGCTTTCATACACATGGAACACTTTCGTCTTGAAATACTCCCATCTCTGAACATCA